CTTCATCAGGCACCACAATGTCATTAAGTCTTTGGAAAAGCCACTCTCCATACCTGATCTACTACAACTGCAAAGACAACCTTTTGTCTTTTATGCCTTTTATTGTATAATCCTCTCCCATTTCCCCTGCTGCTAAAGCTTAATAAAGCTTTTAACTCAAAATAAAAGTATTTTTAGAAAACGTAAAACCAAACCAAACAAACAAACAACAAAACAACCAATCAAAAAAAATAAAAACCCAAAGCTGTGTGCATCCTTTACAAAAGAGGGTACATAAACTCCAGTGTTGGAACTGGCCACTTAGTCTGTCCATTCATATCCACTTGCAAGATCCAAATGCTCCCAGGCTTTCTATTAAGCACAGTGCTATCAAATCACTTTCTTTAATATTATATAAAATATAGAACTATATCCTAAAATCCTGTCCCAAGGGTCTGGTTCTGATTACACAGGGTCAAGTGTCCAACTGTCACATTCAAAAACAGTACATTTAAAATGCATACGTGAGAACAAAAAGTTGAGGAAAACATAGGCAAAAAGATTCAATGTAATTGGAGGAGGGAAAACAATTTGAACAGCATTTTCTTAAAAATAAATGCTCCTAAAACCAACCCAGAGATTCAGAAATATAGCTTTAAAATCTGTCGTCAGTGGAATAGGTCTGGAGCCAGGAAAGAACTAACACTGATGACATCATCCTTTACCTACAGAAAAACAAGCCACAAAATAGGGGAAAGTCTGCCATGCCACAAGGGCTGGTGGTGGAGCCCTAGTCTGACTCAGATAAGCCCTGCCTCCAGGCTTTAACCTCTTGCCAACACGGGTTGTGTGGAACAGGTACAGGAGAAAAAGCCCAGAGGTAAAAGCAGAGGAGAGGGCTCAGGACTGGAGTATAAGGCCTGAGAAGCAGCTTGATACCAGGCATAATGGGAGACCTGGACTCAGGGCAGTGGGCTGATGGAGTGGGAGGACAGCTGGAAGAGACTGACTGGGAGAGGATCTTCATTTACAGTGACATTTTGGAACTTTCCTGGAACCCTGCAGACCGGCCAGCAAGGCAGACGAACAGCAGTTGAAGTTATCTGCCCAAGATGATAAAAACACCCCAGCAGCAATGTGAAGGGAAGCCAGGTGTGCAGAGCCCAGCACAGAGGCTGCTGCACCACATAGATCTGTTTTTCCATGTTCCATGCTCAGCTTACCCCATGACTTCTGCAGCCATCACACTTAAGAATGTGATTAGCCCCAAGAAAGGGGTTAAAAAGCTGATCTTGCAATATCTTTAAAGTCAAAGTAGCAAGATTAAACTGTTTCTTAATCACAATGATAGCCTTAAATAACTCACATATTAAAAGCAACTTTCTTATCACCATATGTTCTAACACAAGATAAAGAAATAAAAATAATCAAATAATCAATCAAAAACGAATACCTAGAAGTAATTATTCTGATACATGTATGAATCTTGAATTGCAAATGCCTCAAAAAATAAACAAAACAAAATGCAATTTCAAAGGGGTTGTTCCTTCACAGACTGCTGCACTTCACAAGGAAAAAAACCGAAGAATTAGACCCAGTGACTACCACTGTTATAAACACACTAGAAGCACCTCAGATTTTCACCTAGCTCTTCTAAAAGACAGAGCTGCCTAAATCTCTGTGCAAGAACGAGAGCTCAAGTTCATCTGCCATTATAACTGAAAATAGCCTGTTTCTGGGATTTTAAATTTTGGAAGGATGAGGGAGTATGGAGCTGAATAACACATTCTAGTACCAAACTTCATGAGCAGTAGCTGCCAAATGAATAGATTTATTTTTAAAGAGTATATTTAAAGTTGTTACTACCAAAGTACCTTCTCCCATTAGTCAGTAGCCTTCAAGAAACAAGATTTGATAAAATGTCTGTCATTGTTTCACATGTATATTTACTAAATTGAAAGGTTAGGAGTTTTGAAGCAGATTTTTCTCCCCAAGTATCAACTAATTTAACATTCAAATGACAAATCCTATAACTAGTCATGGTAGTATATAATCATAAGAAACAACTTTATGAAAGCAAATCAGAGAGTTGGAAAACACAAAGGAATGAGTTCCAACAAAAGAATCTCTCTGGTCATTCCTTGCATTTTCTTGCCACCAGAAAGCTGTTAAGTTTCCAGGCACTAAACCCCCAGGACATTCTTACCAGGAAAGAGCCAGTGCCATGTACCTGTGTCGAAGCCCAGGGTCAGATTCCAGTCCCCTGGTTACACCATCTTTGAGACTTCTGCCTGGTGGGAAGAGCAGCTCCAGAACTCCATGAAATACAAAAGCTCCAGAAGAAAGATGCCCTAAAAAAAGGTGGGCTTCCTGTTGGCCCTCTCTGACCTTCTTTTCAGCTTCCCACCAGTTTTCCTTACAGGTCATACATAGGAGTCTCCACAATAATGGTACCTTAAGGTTTCTCAACAGTCAAGCCAGCATAAGGAACTCATGCCTCTGATCCTGGCTGCTTGCTTCCCTCCAGGCTGCAATGTGCAACAATACCACTGCCTGCACCTGGTTTAATACCACAGAAGAAGGGCTTAAAGGGTAATAAAAAATTACTTTTTCAACACTTCCATCTTTCATTATGTTAGTGTGGTATCCAAAGACACCTCTGCAAAGATTAAGGTCTCAAACTAGTATTTCTTTTACTTATAAGATGTTAAGTATTTATCAAAAGGACTTCTAAAATGGGATCAGATGCTTTATTCCTTGAGCACTCATCTTTCATTCTTATTCCAGGAATGTAAACTGAGGCCATTAATATAAGAGTACATGTACATTTTAAGGATTTAATTTTGTTCAAATTCAAGTCACTGTAATCTTGCCTCCTGCTTTTGCCAGAAAGATACCAAACCCTGACAACTTTTGAGATCCAACAAAAGAATCTTGCAAAGGTGCCCCTGACTCCTATAGCTAATGTAAAATGACAGCAGGAAAAGACTTCTCTAATCTTCTTGAAACAGCAATCTCCATAACGGATGGCTAGAATTCTTATTCACCAGAAAAAGAAACAAGCCCCAAACCCTTTTAAATACAAATTTATATGGAGATACACGTACAGACAGGAATCTTACTTAAACCATTGCTCCAGCACTCACTGGATTAAGACCATAAAAGGCACACCAGTTATCTGCTGGACAGCTATGCCTCAAAGTATTTGTTTTATTAAAAGGACCAATTTTATTTGGTGGGAAGTTTTAAAGAAAAACAATCACACATAATTTAGAAGGAGGTTTTAAAACTTGTGTCTAGCACATCCAGGAAAGGCCAAAATTAACAGCTCTCATCGCAGTCATATAACTGGAAAGTATTTTTAAAGACACAGGTGGGAAAGATGGTAAAATATTTGTGGGCCATCCAAATAAATTGTAACAGTCATATTTGCAGACATTTCCTTTTTATCCAGCATCTGAAAAACTAAAGTTTGTGGAAAAGCAGCTCATGACCAGAAAGAGCCAAGTAGGATAATCTACACAAACGCACATTTCCACATTGCTGTCCAGAGCCTAATCCTTGCAAATTTAACCTTCAGACCAACACCAGCTGGGTGCAGAAGAAAGTTTCAGGCCTCTGAACCAATTATTTGCTCTGCACAAGCAATGAATCAGTTCTGAGGTAAAGTTACTAACCAGATTATATCAGAATAGTTATTTTAAAAATAAATACAATGCAAATTAATTTAGCTTGGCACTTTGATTGCTTTCTTAATACAGAATACATTTTTTAAATGCTGAGCTATAAGAAGCCTGCCTATATGGGATCTCTCTCTCTGGGAGCTGCTAAAACCAGGACTGTAAAAGGACACAGAGGGACCTCTTCATACAAATAAGGCATAAATTATTCCTGTAGCCAAGATGTCCCTTTGGCAAACAGAGATCACTTGTGTAAACTACAGCAGTGGCATTAACTCACCGAAAGATGGAAAACAAAACAAAAAAATCAAGAGCCACAGTAAGGTAATACAAAAGGCCTGGTGTCAACATCTCTCCCATAATGAAAGGAAATGTTTCCTTAGCAAGAATTTAATCGACAGATTTTTTTAATAAAACTATTTTAGCAAACGGTTGTAAATACAATAACAGAAAGTTGTAAATATTTACACTATTGGTTTTCTTTTACATTAGCTTGTTAGATGTCATTGTATTTGAGAAAAGACTGATAGCTTTATTAGATCTGGGAAACAAGAACTAAAAACAAAATCTAGACACACCAAAACATAATCAATTCATGAATACCACATGGCAAACCAACCACTGATCTATAGCACATTTTCAAACTGTCATTCAGGTAATCAATTACCAGGCACTTCTTTTTCCTCTTTTAAGCTCAGGAACTTTGGCCGAGCGGAGTGGGTCTGCCAGATGCCAGCAGCACAACAGCTGGTAGAAGTGCTCCCGCAGCTCCTCTTTCTAAAAATGTTCAATTTGGTTCACAACATCCCATGGCAGCAATATAACAAAAGCAAATCCCTCCTAAACTGAGCCAATCTGCCGGCAGAAAGCATCGAAGAATTTAGGAACAACTTTTAAAGCCAGTATTAAAAAATTATTTATTTTAAAAGTAGAATTTCCTTGGCAAATTAGTGCTGGCTTAATCGGGAATTTCAATTTCTGCACTTTACGTAAAGCTATATCGGAGGAAGTAAATTTTGAAAATAATTATACTTGAAAATTTTCCTTGAAATACACAGGAGGTCTCAGCCAGAGACATCCATCCCGCACAGGCACGCGGGGCACCCTCCCGCAGCTGAGCAGCGCGATTTATTTTACCGCCGCAACCAGGGGGACTCGGGAAGCCAAATCCTACAGGAAAAAAAATCTCTGGAAACTGAGCCGCCAACGAGGGAGGAGGGAGATTAAAAGAAAAAACAAACAGGGAGAGGCCGCGGCGGCCCCGCTCTGCTCCCTCCCCCGCCCCGGGGCACGCAAAACCCCGCGGGCGCGCACGGCCCGGCCCCGCCGGCTCCCGCGTACCTGCACTTCGGAGAGTGCCGATGCTCTGCGGGCGGGCGGCGAGGTCGGCCACCGCCTGCGTGAACTGCGACCGGGCGCGCTGGTACTGCTCGAACACTGCGGGCGGCAGCACCGGGGCGCCGGGTCAGCGAGCGGGCGGGCGAACGCCAGCCCCGCTCCCCCAGCCCCGGCCCCCGGCCCGGCCTACCTTGCAGGACCTGCCGCTGGCTCATGGCGGCGCCGGGCGGGCTCCGCGCCCGCGGGGATTTCCGCGCTGTGGACGCGTCTCCCCGGCAACCGGGCGGAAGCCGAGCCGCGGGGGCGGGGCCTCGGTAGTGACGTCAGCGCGCCCGCCCGCCGCTCCCGGTCCCGCTCCGCCCCGCGGGGCTCTGCGCGCCGCGCTCGGGCCGTGCCCGGGACGGGACGGGACGAGCAGGGTCCCGGAGGGCTGTGCCCAGATGGCGGCGGGTCCCATACCTGTGTCACATGCCGTGCTAGTACAGGTGTGGGTATCGGCACCTACAGAGAGGTTGGCAGGGCGAGCTGACCGGCAGCTCCGCGGAGAGGGGAGCGCCGCTGTGTCACGTCTGTAGCACACACAGAACAGCACCTGTGGGGTGTATCAACAGGACGTGACATGAAAATGTGTACAGCGACTGTGCGCACTCACCTCTCACCGGCAGGCAGCTGCTGCTCTCGGGAGCGCCGGGGAATGGTGGAGACGGGCAGGGAGCGCGCAGCGACCGCGGGACGGTGCCGGGCTCAGCGCAGGGACGTGTCCGGCCACAGCCGCGGCGCCGAGTCCCGCGCAGCCGAGGCTGGCGGGGAGATGTCGGACGGCCGGGCTGGGGCCTGCCCTGCCCTGCCCGCCCCCGCTGACATTTGGGAGCGGCGCTGCGGCCGCCCCGCCGATGCGCACCGGCGGGACGCGCTGCTCCTCCGGGGGCGCGTCCCTTGTCCCGCTCCGCTGCTGCGCAACTTGCCAAGGGCTCGGCGGGCAGATAGGGAGAGCCTCGCCGCTCTGGAGAAGTCCTCTGGGGTCCACCTGCCCGGCTCCCGCTTCCCTCCGGTCCCTGGGTGCGGAGGGAAAATAAAAATTCAAAAAGAAAAATAAGGGCTGCTCGAAGCTGCTCGCCTCCCTCCGCGCCTTTATTCTTCGGGAAATGGGGTCCTTTGACTTTACTTTTTTCTTTCCTTTCTCACCACCGTCGCGATTCCTCCTCGGGGATCTCTCCTCTTGCCTTACGCCGCCCCGACCCACGCAGGGGGTTTTTGCACCTCACGGGGAATAAACTTGTCCCGCGCAAGGCCGCGGAGTCCCCGTCCACCCACGGCCGCGGACGAGCCCGTGGGCTACAGCCACCGCCTCCGCCGGGAGCCACGGGAGTGCGGCAGAAGACACGCCGTGCCCCACTGGAAGGGAAGGCTTTTCTCACACGATACACAGCGCAGTAAATGATCTGCCCGAGCGCACCCATCCGCGCAGAAGACTCGCGCAGCAGAGCACCCCGCCCCGCTCCGCCGCAGGTGGCCGGGAGCAGCATCCGCTCTCTCGATGCAGGGGGAGCAGCACGGCGGGGAAGGATGGTCCGGCAGCAGCCCTCTGGCTCTGCCTGGCACAGACATAAGTTCCTGTGTACTATAATAGGGGGGCTTTAATTTTATTTTTTTTTCCCAGCAGCGTATCATTCTGGTAGGTAAACTGCGCACTGCCTTCCACTTTTTCCCATCCTGGTGTCCGGCCATAAGGACTAATTACGAATAATTCTCTTCATAACTGGTTGGCAAAGACATGGTTGCATCTACAAGTAAACACAGCCTTGGAGGTCTGTATAGCAACTAATGCAAACGGTGGGACTCTAAAATGAAATCAGTGTTATCAGGACTTGAAGAGAAATAGACTCTACATCTCCCCCAGTATCTTTTGAGGGCGATTCCCAAGACGCAGGATATTTGTGAACGAAGGTAATAGTTAGCTCTGCTATCGATCAGGCTGTTCCAAGTGAAATTGTGATCCACAACAGAAAATCAGAGTTAATAGTCAATAAAGAATGTCACTTTCTGTAGCCACATATTATTGCACAGTGTCTTCAAGGTTTCATAGGCTGGTAATTTTACCTGCAAAGCTGTAAATGTACAAAATCAGACGACTGACACTATATAAACATATTATCTGATAGGTAATACAAAGTTTTGTCTCATACCTTGAAGTTGGCATGCTGAAGGTACTTCAGCTGCCTTTTAAAAGTTTAGGAAAGTGTATGAGAGACGTCTACATTTTTTTTTAAATCCTGTGTTTGCTCAGCTGAGAAGAGAGGGGCTAACATACACAATATCATGGTCTAAAATGAGCTACGTGTTTCCAAGAGTATTTAGTGCGGAAAAAAAAAATCTTTACACAAACAAATTAAACAGGCGGTGTGCTATTCTTTACAAATAAAGGAGACAAATAAAATCAGATTGGTGAGAAGGTCGTTTGCCACAGAAAATATTTTGGGAAATTATCACCATGTGTACTTGAGAAGGGAACAGCTGTTAAACACATTTCTTTATACTTATTTCTGTTCCTAAGTTAAATAAAAAATAAACAAATGGTGATTAATTACTTCCAGAGGTTTAAAAAAAAAAAAAAAGCAGATGTGTCGATTACAGATAAATTGATTTATCTGTCTAATTAAGTCTAATGTTTGTATAAGGAACAACAAAACGCACCCTGAGTGCCACCAAGACTTGCTGTTACACTTCGTTGCTTGATACTAAGTCTGTTCACATGGTTAGTAATAATAATGAGGAATAAACACCATGCAAATGCAGTCTACGGAAATGTCACCGGTCCTCGCAAAAGTACTGAAGACGGAAAATCATTTATGGAAATGACGTAATTGTGAGACTTCATTGCCTACTGCTAGGGTGCTCATTAGTAGGAAACCTGTATCCTTAAGCGGGTGGTGTTAGTGATGACTGCGTTACCGAACACGCCAGCTTAAAAAATAAACCGGAGACCAGGGGAATAGGCAACAGTTATCCAAATAAATAATGTGCCTTCGGTTTCTGGTGGGTGTTCTTTAATCTCAGACTTTGATTCACTCAGAAATACGCCCGGAACGGGGCGGGGAAGCACCTTTTTCCTCAAGGCGGGGAAGGGCGAAGTTGCTCCTAGGGTTTTTTGAGGGGTGAGGCGTGCCGAGGGAGTGGGTTTTTCTGGCTCGGTCTCGTCCCCGCGGGTGCGAGGCAACAGGTGACAGCTCCGGGAGCTGCCAGGTCCCCCCCGCAGGACCCTCCGGCTGGAATGGCACTGAGTGGGCTCTCTGCCCCTCGACAGCTCATGCCCCGCTCTGCCTTGGCTGGTCAAGCCGCGGATGTTCCACTACGGCTTAAAACTGCTCGACGCCCATTGAAAGGTGAGATCTTCCCGTGCCTTGGTGCAGCGGCTTCCCCAGCGGTTCCGGAAGCCACCGGGACAGCTCGCCGGGGCTGCGGGTCACCCGGGCTGGAGCCGAAGCGCCCCGAGCTGCCCCCCACGCCCGTCGGTGGGGCGCTGGGTCGCCCCATCTGCCTCTGAAGGGTCTGCTCCTCCTGACACACGCCTGGCAAATTGATCAAGGCATTGAGGAGATATTCATAGGGTTACAGAAATTAGGGCTTTTAATCCCGTATTTGCACGACTCAGCTCATTTGGTGGGAAGAGCAACGCGTGAACTCTCCCACGGATCGGAGTTGGAAGTGCTGAGTTTTTAAGAGCCGGGACTTTGAACGTGGAAAGGTTAGTGGGAGTGAATGGGATGTAGGCAACTGAAGTGCTCTCTGGAAAAGAGAACACTGTGTGAAGAATCTCCAGCTCCACGTACAGTCTCTACAAAAGTTAATTTGAATCCTTGAATAGTTTATTTTTCAAATTTAAGTTGGACTGTGCCATTACCTGATTTTAGCAAAAACTCTGACAGAGAGACCGTAGGAATGGAGAGTTCTCTCTTTTTTTCTCCCTGAGTTTTGGCTCGGGACTGCAGGGACTCATGCCATTCTAGGGTCCTCTCTCCAGATTTTCGGTGGCGAGTTCACTTTGTAAGACCTTCCTATAGAGTAAATTATTTCTGTGAGGCGAAGACAGAGGTGAAGTCGAGGCACTTTACATGCCCTAGAAAGAGGACTTCTCCTTTTTCTTCACCCAAGAGGACAACGCTGGCATTTGAGCAGATATTTGTAACTGTAAACGTGTAAACGGTACGGATTTGGCTAGTGGAGATTGGTGAGTCACCATTACACTAGGAAAGGCTGAATAAAAATTTTAAGAGATAAATAAACCAGAAAAGGGCAAAACATGTCAGGTTGACTTGCAGGATGGGACCAGGAAATATTAGCTGCTAGGGCTGAGCCCTTTTCACCACGTGCATATGGTTACACCTCTGGTTTCCTGCGGAACCGTCAGCGCCTGTGCAGTGCCATTAAAAAAATATATATTTTTGGGACGTTCCAAAACTGAAAGCCGGAGCTTAATTTATTCTGGGGACTTGAAAGGAGCGACGTCTTCCTTTGTGTCTGATGCTCCGGGGGAGGGTGTGTGTTGGCTTGGCGCTGAACGCTGCCCGCATCTACATATGTAAACCCAGCAGCGCTTCTCCCCCCCGCGCCGGTCGGATTGCAGCTCTCAACAATGCTAGCACACAATGCGAAACGCGCGGAGCCTGCGCGGCTGCGGCTAAAAACCAGTGTTTAGCTCTTGATGTGGAAGGACCAAATATGCGCGGTGCCCAGCGGAGCCCGCAGCTCGCCCCGAGGCCGTCCCGTCCTCCTGCACCGTTATTGTCCCTGGCTGCTGCGGTTAGAGGGGTGGGGACAGGCAGCAGCCAGACGACTGTATCCCGGTTTGCAGAAGAAGGTGTAACGAGAGGCGCTGGCAGCAGCAAAGGCTGCAAATCGCTGTCGTGTGGTTGCTATTAGCAACAAATCAGCTGAACAGCCTGCAAACCCCGAGCACCTAGGGCGGAGGTGGCAGGGAGAGCGCCGGGGCTGGGAAGGCTGGGGTTGATGGGCGCTTTCCCGAGGGGACCTCCCTGGCCGCCCCAAGCTGCCTCCCTGCAGCACGGCCGAGGAGGGGCAGGGCAAGGGGAGATACTGCCACCGTGGCGCACTGCGCTCCAGGAGAGGGGAAAGCCAACACTTAAAAGAGACAAAATGGCAGCTCATGGCTTGTAGGCATCCTTCCCGGCGCTGAGCCCCTCTCTTCCCTCCGCCGGTCCCCCGTGCTGCCACCTCCTCCGTGCAGGGGGCTCTCCCCGCCTGCCCAGCAGCACAAGCCAAGCCCGGGGAGCAGCAGCGCGGTGTCCCCCGGGGCTCCAGCCGCAGCCCTTCGCCCTTCGCAGCCAGCCTACCCAACCTAGAAATCGAAGTGCCATCCCTTCGGAAGGGACACGTCCTGACCGGCTACATCGAAGCACGCGTTGGCCGGGTGGAGCTGCGGCTCCGCGCACGGCGCACCCAGCTCAGCTCTCGCGGTGCCGGTGCCGGTGCCGGTAACCTTCGGAAGGTGTTCGCAGGCTCCGCACCCCGCGCAGTGAGAGCTGCTTCCCAGGGGCATCACTCACTCAGCATCCCTGCACCTTGGCCATAACAACACCTTCCTTTCAGCACCCTGCTAGCATAGCTTTTTGGGTATCTTGATTTCAGTTGTTTGGGCTTTCTTCTGGATTTTATTTTGTTGTTTGTTTTGTTGGAGGGTTTTTCTCTTCATTTCCCTTTCAAAGTTTTGGGATTGGGTATATGGAGGGTTTTTTTTGGGAGTCCTTTGGTGAAGTGTGAGGTTTTTTTATTATTTTTGTTAGGTTTTTTTCTGGTTTTTGTGTTTGAGTTTTGGGGGATTTTTTGTTTGGTTTGTTTTTGTTTGGGGGGGTTTTTTGTTTGTTTGGTTGGTTGGTTTTTTTGTAGACTCAGTCCACCTTGGAGGCCTCCATCAGCTGCACGATGTTGTCTCACAGATTAGAAAGTGCCTTGTTGAGAAGGCAACTCTCGAGCATCCCTAGCACATGGAGAAGGAGGAGTAAGAAATGCCACCGCCGGCAGTAGTGCCTGGGAGCTCTGCGCTCAGCGGAGGCCCCAGGATGCGAGGCGGCTCCTGCCGGCCTCGGCCTCCTCCACCGAGGATGTGGCGGCCGAGAGGCAGCGGGGACGCGGATCCCGGCGGCGGGCGCTGAGGGGGAAGGGCTGCTGGCTGCCTTTGCTATTGGAAAGTGCCTCCCTGCCACTGGGGAGTTCTCACCCGGCCGCTCCAGGAAAATGTACCCCTTCCACACCGTTGAGAGCATCGGCGTTCGGAACGGGCAAGGCATCAGCCTGTTCCCGGCAATAGGAACATACAGCCCCCTTTGTCTCTCTAGACGAGGTGCGATATTCAGTTGAGGGCCATGAAAATAGATACGCCAAATGGCTACCGCGACCCCCTCCTATGCCTCGTAGAGGTGGGCTTGCCCCGAGGCCCCACCGTGCCCCGGGAAGGGCTGGTGCCGGCCGGCCTCAGTGGGAGGCCGTGTGCTTGCGGCAGGGCGGCCGGGGATATAGGACAGCGGCGCCCTGCAGCTGGAAAACCCGGAATGCCCCCATCCCGCTGCGCACATCCCCAAATGTCCGGGCTAGCAGAAGCACCCTATAGGCCCGGAGGCGGGGGAAGGCAGACTGGACGCAGGACAGTGCGGAGCCTGCGGCGGCACCGCAACACCTCAGCGGAGGACGGCTGCGGGCGGGGGTGCTGCCTGCCAGCCGTGCCCGCCGCCCCCAGGCCGGACCCGGCACGGCCCGAGAGCTGCCAAAGGCGCGACGGTGCGCCCGCCGCGGCCGCCGGCGGAGGTCGATGGGGCGACGCTGGCGGGGCCCGTGCGCGGCGGGCGCGGCGCGGAGCGGCCGGCGGGTCCCCCCGCGGGTCCCGCTCCGCGCAGCCCCGTTCGAATCTGGCGGCGCGGGGGAAGTTCCGCGGGCGCGAGAGGTGCGCAGGCGCAAGATGGCCTCTGCCCGGGCGCGGGGGGCGCGGAGCGGGGCGGCCCGCCCGTGGAGGGGCAGCCGGCGGGGGCCCGGCAGCGCTGGCGGCACCGGCGGCGCCCGGCGCCACGTTTCCACGCCGACCCGAGAAGCCGCGTTCCCGCCGGCGGAGGCGACGCGGAGAGAAACGCAGCAGAACCGCAGCTCCCGGCTGGGCTCCCGGGGCGGGCAGCGGCCGCCCGCCCGGCGGCGGGGAGGCCCGCGGGCTCCTCGCACCCCTGGGGCAGCGCCCGCCTCCGGCACCGCCGCTCGCGGCCTTTCCGTGACTGCCGCTGGCTTGCCCGTCGCGGCCGCGGCTTCGCGGCAGCAAGTGGGGATGGAAGTCCCTTTCCCTGCCCTATCCCGCAGGAAAACCTCCTTTGCCGTGGGTGTTACGTATCCTTCGTGCTCTACCCGTTACTGACATTGATTTTTTTTTTTTTAACCCACAACATCACTGTTAAATAAATACAAATATCCCATCCCCAAAGACGGCGAGATCGAGAATTGCCTGGTCCACACCGGGCTTTACAATATTTTCTGTTCTCCTGTCTGGACTCCTCTCTTGGTCGCGGGGAGAGCGAGTGAAGGAGCCAAAGTCGGAAAAAAATCCTCGCTGCCAGAATCCTTGCCATCCTTGAGTTAATAAAACACAAATCAAACGTGGGTCGAAGCTCCCGGAACGGGGCAACGACATTGAGATGCGGAAAGCGGAGATACGCAGCCCTTGAGAGGTGAAGGCAGGTTCTTCTCCAGGCGTCCTCCGGGCAGGAGACGGGCAGAAAAGATGAAAAACAAACTGTTTATAGTAAAATAAAGGAAATCCGTTTCAAGTACCCAGAGTAGGAGCAAGAACGTTAAAAATTAACAGCGGAAACAGGAAACACTTATCTGAGTAAACATTGCCTCAGAATTTCACCGTTTTAAAATTGGGAGGGCGCGAGGTGCTCGGCGGGGCCGCCGCAACCCTCCTCCTGCTGCGGTGCCTGCGACGGGGGCCGCCGCCGACCGCCCCGTTCCGGGGCCAAAAATCGGAGCCCGGCACGACGAGAGAATCCGATCCTCGTCAGCCAGTTTGGTGGCAAAGATCGGAACTGCAGGAGTTCCTGCGTGGTGAGAGATGAACAGTCCAGAAGTGATGTTTGGAAGGTAAGAGCACTCTGCCACCGGGACTAAGGAACCAGCGGTTCGGAGCCGCGGCGAAGAAAAGAGGTGCAGGGTTGGCGGAAGGAAGGAGAGTTCGCTCCGGTACCGGCCATGGGAAGACTTGCTTTGGCAGCGCTTTGAAAATCCCCAGCGAAACCAGCGACTCCTGGAGCAGCGGTGCGGCGGTCGAGGTGACGGCGGTGGCCCGGCGGCCGCGGCCAGAGGACCAAAGGCATCGCCAGGTCGGGAAGGGCGCCCGCCGCTGCCGCTACCTCCGCCGTCGGGTTTCTTTGCCCTACATCATTCAAAACTCGGGGAGCGTCGTTTTCTCACAGCGTTTCCTGGAGCTCCCCCGGTGCTGCCCGGGTCCCCGGCGCCGCGGCGGTGCCGCCCTCCGCTTCTCTCTCCTGCCGGGACGCTGCCGGTGTCGGAAATTGGCCGGTGGTACCCGCCTGCCAGCCTCGGTTTTCTGGAACTCATGGGCGCAGGTTGTTGAGAGAAATGGTCAGTGCTGGGGGACAACCATCTCGGCTCAGCAAGCTCGTCATGCTCCTCTTTCTCTCCGTGCATATTTCTGCATTCCGTCTCCCTGTTTCTGTCCGTCTTCTCTAGAAGCGCATGGAGATTTTCATGCTCCCTCTCTATTGCTTTCCCCGGGGCTGGATCCTCATTCGTGCCGGACACAAAAGCGCTGCTTGGAGCTGCAGGCAGCTGAACCAGGGCGGAAAATTTGGTCGGACGAAGGCAGAAAAACATCCTTTTCCAGCCGGCACAGACCGTTCCTGCCCCTATCCTTGACCAGATTGCTTGTTGAACAAGCTCAGGAAAACGCAGCAGACTTTGCCTTTATCCTTCCATCTATATAAATGCAACGTCGGATAATGAGAAGATTCCCCTTACGTGTACCGAGCAGAGATTTCTATCAGGGAGAATTCAGGTACATGTGAAAGGAAAACCTGTCACTATGTATATGCAAAGGAAAATATTGTGAAACCGGGAAGGCTGACATAGCAGCTTCACAAGTAGAACACCAAGATGCTATCTTTGATCGTCCTCCCAGTTGTGCTTAGCAGTATATACGCATCGCAGTGCCATCTGCGCAGGGCCAGCAGAAAAACAAAAGTTTCACATGGCAGCACAAACATCCTCGGCGGCTTTTGCAGCTCGGCAAGAGAGCTACCACAGCGTTTGTTCTTGATCATACAGGAGATGACAAATTGGGAGATGTAGAAAATACTACAAGAGCTTAGTAAATCTCGAAGTGAAATATCCAACTCCTGTTTTACTGCCGAGTGCTTCACGGGCAGTCCATAAAGACCAAGAATAGCTCCGTATTGATGCTAGAAGTAGTGATTAATTGCTATTTTGAGTAAAATTAAGCACATTTTGATCAGTGTGCTAACTTACAAACCTCTGCTGTAGGTTCAGTGCTGGTTTTTGGGTGAAATAATTCAGCCAGTACAGTGTGATTCATTCATGTAGCTGAGGGAATCATGCCAAGACAGATATTCGGTCGCATTGAGAGATATCTTTATATTAAAACGTATTTAGTTCCACTGAGGCTTTAAAAAGCAATCCAGGGCAGCACAGGCAGAACATGGCACTCGCCATCACAAAAATCAAGTTCTTCCCTTCCCAGACAGTGCAGTTTAACAGGGGCTGAGTTCGAACAGATAGGAGGTAAAACCTGTGGCTGACTGGGATGTGAGGATGCACCCATTTGCTTATTTTCAAGAATAAATCGGGGTCAAATAAAGAACAGCAAATGTTTTCAAGACAGGGCAAACCAAAACAAATCACTGCAATTTCTAGGTGTTTTTTCCCCCCTTTGTTATTTTAGTATACTACACTGTACTGTTCACTAAAATCTTTGGTACACCAAGAAATACTTCCCGAGAACAAGATGTTTGTCCTTTAACACCACATTATCAACAGAGGTAATTTGCTACTTTTCAATGAATTATCCCTTTTATTTATTTATTTGATCAGCTATAAATGAAAGTTATTCGTGTATATAAAACTGAAGTTTTTACTGTTGAAATTGAACTGTACATGTTTACTACAGGAAAAAATATCAACTCTTGTTTAACAAGACATACATCAATAAGCAATAACCTTGTGGAGGATTTGCAATCACCTGGTCTATAAAAACAAGCAGGACAAGTAACAGCAATTTATATGCAAAAGTAATGATTTAATGACTATAAGCAAGACAAAGCAATAAGAATTGTGCTTCTTTTGCAGACTGGAGACAATGAAATGTTTAACTACAATTTTTCCGTACAAACATGAAACAATATCCATATAGAATAAACACCCTCACAAATGTATAACTGATGGGTGATGAACACACACAAAGTTCGACCAAAGCAAAGCACAAACTGAAAAGTGTTCTGGGCTGTTCATATTTTATGGTGGAAAAGTTCCTCCTATTGAAAAAACCCCACCCTTAGAAGCCTCTAATAAAATGCACCTACTTGCAGGCCCTTAAAGAGAAGGCATTCTCCACAATTTATTGGAAATATTAAGTACCAGTTAAACTTTAATGAAGTTAGTACTGTACCATATACATATATATTAAAACAAATTTAGATAAAATGCCTTCACCCAGCCACTTGCTGGTTCCTTAAAATTTATATCAAATAGTTTATGGCTTCTATAATGATTCCATGTGCTTTTAAAAACACAGTCCCACCACACCAAATAATAAAAAGGTAATCAAACAGGTCAAAAACTTCCATGTCCCTTGATTTCTTTTTTTCACTGTATCACTTCAACATTTGGTAAAGTAAAAATATTCCACTTAGAAGAAAAAAAAAAAAAGACAAAGCAAGTAAAATCCTTTTAAGATTGCCAATTGCCTCCAGGTTATCAGAGACTTGAATGTGCTTTCCCAATACTGTAGCTCTCACACACAACGTGTTTCTTGCAGTATGAGCAAAGCTCAAACATCAAACAGGTGGCATCTGCAAGGGTCGAACCAGTTTAGAAATTTAACAACCATATCATGAGTGCATGAAACACAATATTTTCTTTATAGTATTTATAAATATATCATACAATACTGTTTCCTGTTATGTCATATACCAATATGGCATTGTACAATAAGCATAATGCCATCTGATTCTTACAAAAGCGAATCATTTAAACAAGTCAGTAAATAAAACGGTAATACCCGCTTTTAGGCATACAGATTGTAAAACTGAAGTTTACTTTTCTTTTGATCGGTTCTGCGCAGCAACAGAGAAGTAAAAGATGCAACATAAGAATCAAAATGGCTAATACGCAAAAATTGTTATTCACAGTGACATGGCTACATATATGCATTTTTCTATGCATATTCTTTCAATTTTGTTGGATTTCAAGATGAAAAAGCACTTGCTTTCTACAGGTTCACAAAACAGTATAAGAACAATAACAATCGAAGAGAACGCAATGGAGGAGTTAGTCTGGATTAACAAACTACTTCCCAGGATTTGTATTGACTTCTGGAGACTCCTGGCTCCAGATGATGGGGACAGAAACAACTCCACATCATTCAGAACAGGTGAAGGTGTAACTTTTGTTTGCTTCCCAGTCCTCTGAAAACAATTTACATTTCAATCTTGCATTTCCATTAAGGTCCATCCCGAATGTCACCTAGTCCGCCTTTTATAGCCAAGTTCAGTGTTACTACAAAAGAAAGCAATTTGGATGATAGTCACATGGATTAGCATCTATAAAGCTGTAATGGCATGGAGAGATCTATATAAAGGAGGGGCAAGGGTGGTAGCCTGGTTGGCACATCAACCAGATGAAGTGGCTGAGGAGCCATTTATTGATGTTTTCCGAGCTCTGTTGGTAAAGGAGGACTGGTGGTTACTGCTGGGGCTGCTGCTGGTGCCATTCATGGTGCTGGAGATGTGGGGGAACTGGGGGTGAGGAGACTGGACTGGTGTGCTGGGGCTGGGCAAACAGGAGGAGGTGGAGGGGATGCCTCCTGCTGGGCTGCTCGCCTTGTCGCTCCCAGAGTCACTTTCCAGCTCCCCACTATTATTCAAGCCTTCCCTCTGGTGACTGATCTTCATCCTCTTGCAAGTAGGTCGGACACGGTATTTCAAGGGCAGAGGCCCATTCTGCAAAGTAAAAGGGAGACCCTGGTAAGTGCCCTGCCCAGGCCATGACCTGCACCCTCCCGGGAGGCACACTGGAAACACTCACCCGCCTCCAGGTATAGATGTAGGCAATATCCATTAGAGTGTAGTAGTCCTTCAGAGGCTCCTCTTCATACATCACATCGATCTGTTCAAGATATGAACCCTTGCATTAAGGAGCATCCAGGCATTTACCCCCAGCACATGACTGCTCTAAGGTAAAAGTAGCCCCACTGTCACAGATATCACAAACACATCAAGGAGCAATTTCTTAATACTTTGGTATTTACAGCACTAAAAAAATTACAGCGTCACCAAATTCTACAGACAGATATTTTTAAAATAAACTAAATAATGTATGGCACACACCAGAAATACTTGAAAGTTACCACTTGCTGGGACTGGCTGTAATGAGAAAATGAGTCCTACCAAAAACAACACCCAAAAACCCGAAACAAACAAACCACTCTTTCCTCATGGGTACCTGGAAAGTGTTAGGTATATCCATCTTACTCCGCAGGAACTTTCTTAGATGCATCACTGTCATTGCTGCTGGGCAGCGCAAGTATCTTTTGTCATTCACCTAGTGGCATAGTAAAGAAAATCAGTCTACTGAGAATGAGCAATTACCCCCACCAATGTTGTATTCTAACGTTTCATGTTGAAAAAAGTACACCTTACTAAACTATGAACTGTAATACAACAATGCCTTCTGTCTTAGAGGGCATATCAGAAATAAGCAGCAAATTATAGCTCTAGAGAAAGTATTTTAAAATTGTAACTATATTTATATGCAAATATTAGTATTATATTTAATATCTTTTTAGGAAATATATGCAACACATTATTTTAAAATAAATTATTAAATATTTTCTCAAACTTTGACAAAAAATCAGATTCTGCTTTAAAATAATACTGCGGGTATTTTTAATTTTAAAAAGTTGCCTGCATATACAGCTTTATGAAAATGCTTTACCTCTTCTGTACTTAGTGCCATAATAAGAGGTGTGCTTCCTTTGTTCTAGATACACATACCTACATATTTTTTTCAGCTACAGACCTGCCCCAAAGTTGTGGGTGTGTGTAGTATGTTTCCTCTGGAGTAAAGGAAAGTTATTTACCTCTTCCTTTGATTTTTCTTTCTCTTTATTTCCTTTTCGCTCCAGTCTGAGAGAAGAAATTACACAATTACAACAAATAATAATTATAGGTGCTATCAAACAGGTAAACATAAAAATTTTGCCATTCTGGAACTTGCCTATTCTGGTCAAAGAATTCAATGGATAAGCTTATTATCTCGTCGTCTGTTATAATTCTTTTGTCTTCATCAGCCACTTCTCCCCTGTCTTCATTAGAGCCATTGGCAGCTGCACAGAAATTTCCACAATAATTTACATTTTGAAATTCAAATCAGGAAGAATTGCAATTCTCAGTAACAAGAAAAAAAAAATCTTCACAGTAAGATAATGAATGAAAGCTACCTGACTGTTAAAACAATAAACTTTTATTATGCTGGCTTTACTTCTTAAAATTCTGTGATGGTAATACATCACTTGTAAGTTAAAAAGGAAACAGTAAAAACATCTAGCTCAATGCTACACATAATAAAGTTGCGAACGAGAAGCTTTTACCATCAGCCGACGGATGAGCAGCATAAAAATCCCTTCTTCTTTTCATTTCATCTAGATGGAAAAGCATATATTTTTCTTTTAGTAGTTACTCTATAACTCACGGTATTGATACAGGATAGAGGCTCTGGTTTTGTTTTTCTGCTCTTAATAAAATACCTGATTTAACTACTTACTTTTGAAAAGGCCTGGTACTAGCTTGTATACAATATCTTGGAGAGTTTTATCTGACCTGAAAAAAGAACAATCCCACAACATAAAATTAAGCAGATGAAGCAATATTTTAATCCAAATGACAGCTCTTCACTGATAAACTTTCACAACAATGAGGCATCTTCTACAAAGTGGGAGGCCAGTCATAAAAAGTTGACTTACAGGACCTTGCAACCAAACCAACCCTGCTCTAAATACCCCTCTGAACCAAAACTCATCCGTGTTAATACAACTGAAAAAGAACTCTCCCAGACTGAAGGAAGGCCTTAAAAAGTACATGTCCTCCCTAGAAAGTACAGAGAGCAAAATGCAGTGCTGACACAAAAATGCTTCTAAAGGGCAAATGCTATTTCAAAGGCTTTTGCCTCTTAGTTTGGAAAGTTGCAGTAGGATTTTTCATGACTACGAGCTGTGGTTGGAGTGATGCATGTCTTGGAGATACAGAAAGAAGAGGCAAGACCTGTCGGGATGGTACAGGAGAATGGGGGTGAGGGAAGAGGCATCAATGACTAGTGTACGCTAAAATAGACCCACAAAAACATCCAGAGGCATCTTCAGTTTTAATCCGTGAAGAAACTCCAAAGAGAGTACATACACACGAGGTAGCTTGTAAATTGACAAGCCCTTTCAGATTTAAATTGCAGACGAAGAGATAACATTGACACCGACTACTGCTGGTCTCCCCATATAAAGCAAAACGAGAGATGCAGTGTGCACTTCGCAACTTTCTCCTACCTTATATTCAAAAGCGGTCGAGTTTTGTGAACTTGGACATCACAGATAGGACAATACTTGCTGGTCTCCAAGTAACGCACGATACAGGTCTTACAGACTGTAAGTCAAACACCACAGGCTTTTAGTGATGCTCCTAGGTGCCGCTCAGATATGCATAGATAAAGGTGCGATTTTCTAAACTATGCAAGCTAGAGCAAATCGTCCATTGTCAGCAACACGCTGCTTAAGCTAAACAACTACCCAAATAAGCTGCAATTACCATGAAAAGGAGACCTTATAGTACATATATTATTACTTTTAACAAAGACCGCAGGGCCATCCTCAGAAAATCTGCACCGCGGCTGGAACACCTACTTCCCCTCCCGTCGGAGAGGAGGGCGTCGGTCCCGAGCCCCTCGGGGGATTTGGGGTTGGGAGGATTTTTTTTCCCGTGTTCCCGGGATGCCGGGAAAAGAGGGAAGCGGCGGGGGGAAAACGCGGAGCGCCCGGTCGTACTTACAGGAGTGGAGGCACTCTATGATGGTTGTTGCATCAATGAAGTACCCGCCGCAGAGCACACACATGAGATGGGGGTTTAGCTCGGTTATTTTGATTCTGGTTGTTCGGTGCATTTTGGCGTGGCGAGGAGCGGCTCTGAAAGACACACACACACAGAGGACCGGTCAGCGGGGACGAGCGCGGCGGCGTCCCAGGTGCCGCGGTCCGGCGCATCCCCTTCCCCCGTGCATCGCATCGCATCCTCCGGCGCAGAGGAAGACCAAGCGCGGAAGACGAAGGCGGCGGCGGCGCGGGGCCGGGCGGCGGGCGAGGGCCGGTCCCGAGGCCGGCGGGGCGTCCCCGCACCGCACCGCCCCGGGCCGGCCTGGGCGCAGCCCCGCGGAGAGGCGGTCGTTCCGCGGCACCCACCGCCCCGTTCCCCGGCGGGCACGGGCCGTTCCCGCGGCGCGGCGGCCCCGGCCGGCTCGGGCTGCGCGGGCGGCTCGGCGGCGATGCGGCGGGGAGCTCCGGGGGCGACACGGCGGGCACCGGGCTGCCGGCGAGCAGCACAAAGGGGAACCAGCGCCTCCCGGTGCGGCTGCCCTGGCATTTCCGGAGCGCGGGGAGGGGCGGCGGGGGGAGGGACGGAGAGGGGGGGGGACACACGCACCTCGGAGCGGGGCCGGGCACCGGGACGGCGGGGCCGGCCCGCCGGGGGGGTCCGGGCGGCTGCCGCTGCGGCTCGGTGCCGATCCGGATCTGCTCCGCTCTCCGAGGGGGTTGCTATAGCAACTTACACTTACACTTGGCATCCTGCCACCGCTGGGAACACACGAGAGCCGGGCGGGGGGCGGCCGGGGGGGCGGGCCGGGCCGGGCCGGGCCGGGCCAGGGGGTGGGACGCGGGGCCCGGGGGCTGGCGGAGGGGGTGGAGGAGTCAGGGAGCCCGCGGGGGTCTGGGAGCCCGGCTGCGAAGGGAGGGGAGGGGAAAGGCGGGAGCGGCCCGGGTGGGGTCGGGTGCCACAGCTCGGAGGGTGCCCGGGCGCGATGTGGGGCAGCCCGGGCGGCGGGGGCGGCGCCGGGCTTTGGGGTCTCAGCCTGGCGGAGGCGAGTGCCAGAGGCTCCTCCCGAGCCTCGGCCATTTCGGATCCTCTCAGGGGCCTCTCTCCACGTCGACTCGGTGCGAGGAGCTGGTCTGAGATAGCTCCTCTCCCCCTCCGCTCCCTCCCTCCGGAGAGAAGAATCGCGCCGCGCTCCCGGGGACCGAGCCCCCTGCACCGCCAGTGGGGTGCCGAGCCCCAGCTCCCGCTCCACCGCGCCGGCATCCCGGCTCTCCTCTGCTTTCCTCACTTTTCTCCTTCCTAGCTTTCTCTCACGCCCAACTCTTTTTCTCTTTCTTTCCTTCTCCGACCTTTGACGCTTGATTGAAAATCATCCCGCGGACGAGGCGAAGCGCGGTGCAAAGTTTTGCAAAAGATGTAAAGCGATTTGCATCACCAAAGTAAGGTGCTTGGACGGGAGAAAACAAGTCTCCGGCTCCTTAAGTAACCTCCCTTTTCAGCAATAAAGCACACCGAGAAGGGGGGAAAAGCCCAAACCGACTTTAAACGGTACATTAGTGTAAACATGCGAAGGACCATGTGACCAGATCATTCCTAAAGCTAAATCAACACCTTGTCAACACAATGCAGAGACAAGAGTGAAAAACAAATGTCATTTTCATAGTCTGAAATCCATAAAACCCCATCGGATGCACTGGCACCAACGCTAGACGCATACACGCTGTTTAAAATGAGAGGGAATAACAGATAAAGGGAAAAGCACACACGGGGAAAAAACCCTGTCAGCCACATCAATTGTAAATTATTTTCTGTCAACCAGATCCTGAAAAATGTAATGTAAGAACGTTGCTCCAGTCCAAGCTATTAATTTCCCCAGGTCAGTGCTCCCAGAACACCAGCTCCTGTCCTTGCTCCCCTCTCCTCCCGAGGCAGAGCTTGAGAGCCACCTCTCACCGCAGCACCGTATGCTCAAGATGCGAGCAGCCACTCGCAAACTTCAATGTTAGGCAGGGAAAAAAAGAAGGGAAAAGAAAAAAAAAAAAAATAAAAAAAGAGGCAACAAGAGGCAACACACTACACTTTCTAAAAGCTTTGAACGTCAGCCAAACTGACCAGAACAGGGGTACAATATTCGCCAGAAGTGTGCACAGCGCCAACGAGCGACCCCGACCAGGAAACTTCTCTTGTTGCTGCAGGAGAACCCTCGAGTGAACAGCAGATAAAACACCCCAACATCAAACCATAGCCGGCCAGCAAAAAGAAAAGCAAAGTTTCAGAAGCACCAAGCCTGACCAGGTCCCCAGATCTGCTCCCAGCACTGTGCGGGAAAGCAAGACACCCGCTGCATTGTACTGCGGTTTAAATGTCGCTTCCAGGGTCCCTGACCCTCCGCTTCTTCCTTTTAAACTGATACCGAGGTTTTGCTTTTCCCAGAAAAGGCAGAGACGGAGTTTCTGCACGCCTCTCTGAAGAACCCAGCGCCCTGAAGCCGGCGGCTCTCGAGTCCCTTTAGGTACTTACACATGGACAGGCTGCTTTCACGGTTCTGTGTTTTATTTGTTCAAGTCAGTACCTTATAATTCATAAATATCTAACCCCCCCCCCCAAAAAAAAAAAAACCCAGCAGTGACCGGGGTCACACAAGTCGGCTGACCGAGAATTCCTTCCCAGCCCTGACAGACTGGGACAAACCTTTCAAGACATTAACGCGTTTATTTCACGCAGGCATAGCTCCTTCCTAAATGGAGGGGGATTAAATTCAACCGTGAAACCTGTTTTGTAGAAGCAACCCCTAAATGCGGATTATTTATTGCCCAAAGTTAGCACATTTTCAACGTGCTATGAGCTATCTTGAAAACCAGTGATTTTCCCCAGCGAGCTGAACTAGGCACCTAATTTCTCCCCAAAAGCCACCCGCACAGGCACACGCGTGTCTGTGCCTGCGGGGATGTAACATGAACACAGCACATTTTACTACAGCAGCCTGAGTTTAATATCTTGGTACGAAGAAACCCTTTCAGATGTTTTTTTCTGCTCCTGCTGATCGCACGGTGAATGCCAACACTTCACAGAAATATAAACAGCCTCTTAGCCAGGACAATATATATTTACACATTGACACATGGAACAACTAAACTTAAAATATATGTGGATAATACCTGCTAGAAGTAAACACTGCCAGCCAACCGATTATACAGAGGCCTTAAACAAGTTATGTCAAAATGAAGAAAAACAGAAGTGCATTCTCCTGCTAAGAATCAGCTGCATTATTAAAAATCCATAAAGGCAATAAGCTATCAAACCTTGCTCGACAGGTCTCTAACAGAAAATACATACATAAAGAATAGAAGCATCGCTCGGGTAGGTTTGTGTACTTTGTACCCATCTCCTCTCGGAAAACTCTCATCAGGAATAAAGCAAGCCTTCATTCTACATCTTCACCCATTATCAGCCAGAGCCACTTGTACTATCGAGCCTGTTATTACTCTTTCGCTTAAGAATGGCCGCATATGTTTTAAAGGAGAGGACAGTAGCTCTTTCAGAGGAGGCACACGAACCTCAAGTATCTCTGCACAACTCGCTGTAGCGAGAAAAGACCTGAATATTGGCAACAGAGTGCAAAAGGACCCCCAGTCTCTTAAATCGCCTCCCTGGGACTAGACGTAAGACACAAGCTATCTACTTTTAAAAATACACTAAAATGTTAATTTTGTAATATCTAAGCGATCAGGCAGGTCAAGGCTTCGTGTCTCTGGCAAAGTGCTACACAAGTCTTAGTTTCCAGGACGGGATGCAGAGAGTCACTCAAAGTAGTTTTACTGGACTGTACTGAACGTCCCTGGTCTTAGAGACAGTCCCATAACAGAAGCTGCTCTCACCACTACAGACTACGCAAAAAAAAAAATTCTTTTAGCGCCAAGCTTGCAAATGGACACACATGCCCAGGTTTTCTTCGACTTTTCTGGAGAGTGGAGAAGTGAATCAAAGTTTTTAGAGGCTGAAAAGTTACTGCCTCACTTTTATGGAAATGCGATTTTTTTCCTGCTTATTTTCACCTGATTATTTGCAAATGTTTACAGCAAACACAGAGAAACATCCCACTTTATATATTGCCAAGGCCATTCAATTATAAAAACATAACACCAGCAACTTTCAAGTGCTGTCCATAAACAGCACGAGGAGCCCACTCGTGACATCTTTAAGATCTGACAAAGGATTTCATGTAAATTTACCCTTCCCGGGCTCAGGGGGAAAAAAAATACCGACCAGAGAAAAGAAATTCACACACACCACCCCCCCTCCGCGTCCCGCAGACACATCACCTTTGCTCCAAAGGCTCCAGCAAACCGCTCGCCCCAGCTCCCCAAGACCGCATTAAAAGTGCTATCCTTGTCCCCCAAAAAAGTTATTTCTCGGCGTTGACCACCCCTTGCCTCTCCCAGTAGGCACAAACCCCTAAAGTTCAGCATTTAGAGCAGAAATGTAAGAGGAGACATTGGAAACAACTGGGAACCGCCATCTTACAACCCATCCAATTTCACAGAAGTACTTGTCCAACTTAAGTTAATAACATTTTCTGCTGGGTGCCCCGGCTCCTAACAACCCCCCCAGGAGGATCGCTACCCCCCGCTGGCTCCGTCTCTATAAAATGGGTGCGTTATCTGACATTTTAACCCCCCCCAGACACATTTCTTTCGGGGAGGACTGAAATCACTTGACCCAGGCAGCTCCAGATTTCACGAACGTCCCTGTTTAATCAAAATCTGCCTTTAAACAAAGGGCGCTCGGGCCGGGCTGGCAGCAGGGTCGGGAAATATAAATATTCTCCTCGGGGGCCATGTGCACAGAAAGGTTTTAGGGGGCGTCTGGAGAAAGAAAGGAACTAAAATTTGCAAATGTGGGTGCGTAACGCGAGCGAGTGCACAGGCTGCTGCTGCTGCGTGTCTGTATGTGTGTGTGTGGCTAGAGCAGCCTGTCAGCGCTTTTCCCATACGGAGAGCTCGGGGGACACCTAGGCGCCCCTTTGCAGCCCCCAAACCGGCCGAAAACCGCCGCCGAGCCCCCTTCGCCCCCCGCCCTTGGTAAGGCGACACCTCGCTTCATACGTACCCGGAAAACGGAGCCGGTGGGTGATGATCGGAGCGGCCAAAAAAGACAATGAAAGTTAAAAGTCGTTCAGCAGAAAATGAATGTGAGCCAAGCGGCCATCTTGAAATGAACTGCAGACGCTGTCAATTGCAATAAGCTTATTGCCGCCGCCGCCGCTGCGCTCCGCTCATTTTAGTTACAGAACGCCCGGGTCTCCTCCGCTCCTCGCGGGCCCTTCTCGCTCGCTCCCTCGCTCTCTCGCTCCCTCCGAGTTGGCCGCCCGGGCGGCTCAGGCGCTGGGAGCGCACAGTCTCCCCGGTCCGGATGGGTCCTCTCTCCACCAGCCCATTGTCTCTCCCTCTGCCCCCCGCTCCGCCTCGCGGCCTCTCTCGCGTTCCTTCCTTTATTATTATTGTTATTATTACGAGTATTATTGTTGTTGTTATTTCATAGTTGGTGGCGGGGACCCGGGGAGGGAAGGAGGGCGGGCGAGCGGGCGGGCGGGAGGAGGGCGGAGGAGGGAAGAATGCAACGCTGAAGGCACACAGTGGAAACTGACACCGTCCCCAAAATGGCTCGGAGTTCGCCCGCCCCGCCAGCGTCACGTGGGGCGCCTCATTCCTTAAGGGCGGCCTGGGAATTAGCGGCGCTGCCGCCGGGGCCCGGCAGCCTCCCCGTGACCCAATCCCGCAACCCGGCCGCCTCCTCCCCCTCCGCCTCCCCCCTCGCTCCTTCCCTCCCCTCCCCCGCCCGCCACCCCCTCCCTTCCCTCCCTCCTCTTTTCCTCCCTCCCTCCCCTCCCCCGGCCCTGCACGCGCTCGCCCGCGCGCCGCCGATGCCTCCTTTTCCTCCTTTTCCTCACCGCCCGCCCCGACCCCCGGCCCCGCTCCGCGGCTCCCGCCCGCCGCAGCCCCAGCGCCTCCCGCCCTCCTTCTCCGCTCTCCCTCCGCCCTCGCCGCGGCTCCCCTTCAGCCACTGCGCTCCCCGCTCTCGCCCCGCGCCCCCCGCTCTGCCCGCCGCTGCCCTCTCCATCCTCCCCGCGCCGCAGCCCCACAGCCCGCAAGCCCGCCGGCCCCACACGACGCCCGTCCTCCCGACCCCGCAGCCCTCGCCTCCCTCCGCGCACTTGTTGCGCGCTCCCACCCCGGTGGGACCCCCGCGAGGACCCGCACCGCGGCCTCGCGCCTCCGCCACCGCGTGCGCGCTGCCGCGCGCCCCTCGCCGCGCCGCGCCCGCCCGGGGCCGCGCGAGCCGCCGCCGTCGAGGGGGCGCGTCCCCTCGAGGGCCGCGCGGACGCTTTTCGGCCCCAAGCGGCGGCAGGGGACAGCGTCGCGGGGACCCGCGGTGCCCCCACACCCCGCGGGAGGAACGGGCAGCCGCCGGAGCGAGGGGGAGGGAACCGGGAAAACCCTCGCGGTGCTCGCCTCTGCCGAGGATAAGACGCCGCCCGCCGCTCGGGCGCGCAGGAGCGGAGAGGAACAAGCCGTGCTTCGCGGCGAGGCACCGGCCGCCGCCGCGCATCCTCCGCGGGCCGCTCTCCCTGGCTGGCAGGTGCGGACGGAACCGCGCCTCGGAGCCCCCTCCGCACCTGCCGGCGGAGCGGGCGGCCCCGCGGAGAGCAGCGGTGCCGCGCACGGCCCAAGGCGAGCGGCAGATGCTGGCAGCAGCCGCGCCGTCGAGCCGGAGCCGCCACCCGGCTCCGCTCCATTCCGCGGCGTCTGCCGGCTTTCTGTGAGGCGCCCCGGCTCCATAAGATTAAACCGAGTCCTTTCTTGTCCCCCGCGCCGGGGTCCAACTTTTCCTCGCAGGAGAGATGTAAGATCGGCTGGAAACGACAAAGCGCGGCGGGCGATTTAGCAAACGCGCCGTAGCCGCGGCACGGAAGAAGGCGCTTTTGCCTCATTGAGCTGATTTAACGTTTAGCATCTTACTTTTAGGCACAGCTAATTCATCAATAGAAATTACACAACAGGCGTGAATAAACTTTTATTAGATCATGGAGAAAAATAAGCAGCGACAGTTGTAAAAATATACAAAATAAGATAGAAGGAATACTTTGACATGACAGTTCAGCAAATATATAACAGGAGTTAATAAAAAAATTTACATGAGCAAAGAATACCCAATGCAGATGCAAAAAAAGTTGTTTCATTTAATTCACATCCAAGAACTTAAAAAAAAACCCCAGTTTGCATCAAGAGATGAAAGACATTTGTCATTTAGGAGACACTTTGGAAGGAGAGTGCTTCAGCAGGCTGACACCTTCCTTCAATCACATCTGAGTCGCTCGTTCTAGACTTTTTGCAGCATCTTTTAGCTTTCCCACTAAGTCCTAAGAGATGAAATAGTGTCTTAGAATAAGCACACTTTTAAAAGGTCAGCCAGAAGAACTGAATTTTTTTTTTATACAGAGATACAACTGAAACCAGCACCTTGTAGCACTAGGAAATGTTGTGACTGATGAACAATGCAAGCAAATAATTAAATAGCTCTGTATTTTACAATGTAGCCAGAAAAGTGGGAACTTAAGGAAACCTAATTTTCTCCTAAAATACATAATTACTATTAACACGTAGATTTTATTGGTATTGCCACAATGGCTAATGCTGTCATTTGCTTCAGGCTCTGAAGTACTACATGGATTTCTAAAACAGTTAAAATATTTTGAGTGTAATTTTCTACCAGAACCATTCTCCAGCCAAAGCACATTAAGATTACACTATGCCAGCAAACTGACTAGAAACACTCATTACTGACAGAAGGACAACTTTTGAGACACATTTAAAAAGAGGAGGTGTAAACCTTAAGTTTTAATATCTTGCTTTTCCTCTCCCACCAACCCCTCTTCCCGATCCTCTACAGTTTGGTCACTTCCAAGCATTACAATACCTCTATTGTTCAGTTACACATTTAAATCGCTAAACAAAGATCAACGTTTGTTTCAGGACATTTCTTACATGTCATTAACACCACTGAAGAGCCTTCAGTTCCTTCCCTATTTTTAATCATGACACATTTAAATCACTGAACTAGCTTCTTTAATCATTTCTCTAAAGCACGGGAAATCAGAGTTTCAGAAAATGATTAGTTTCCTCCCACATATACATATGGATTACAGTTATGAAAACAGGCAAAATATTTATGCACGTATGTAAAATACTCCCCACACAACTAAATTCAGTCACTTTCCAACTTTATTTGAAAATTCCGTAATGTAGACTTGGATAACTTTTACGGAAAATTCTCTTATTCTCCCAGTACTGGAATTTTTTTTAAGCCATAGTGTATATGATTTCACTTTGATTGGCAAGCTGTTAAAACCATGTACATCCACAATTGAGGCTAAGCATAGAACGATGAAGGAAACAAGTACCTGTAATTGCTCCATTGTACAGCTAAAACTAACATCTGGGTGTGATCCTGAATCACTGTTCTGAAGGGGGAAAAAAAAGCAAAGAAACAGCAATGTCTACTTTATTAAAAAAAATATAATGAAATTGCATTTTTTCCTTTAAGGGTGCTCAGAGTACAGTACCTCTAGGTGTAAGGTCACCAAATAGGAAGGCTGGTAAGTTTTATGAAGTTGATTGTTCTAAATAAAAAACAAAGAACATATAAAAAAGCCAGGTCTCAGCATTAAAACAGATTAAAGAAACACCTTGATCTGTTAAAATTACCTTGATCTGATATTCCAAGCGCCAAGACACATCAGTTATATGGAGAGGAGATCTGCCTATGCTGAAAGACACAACAGTTACAAGTTCCCTATGCTAAAAGAAAAGGTAATTTTCCAATGCGTCCATCAATAAAGAACTTTTTCATCATCCTGGTAATGCTTCTTGGGAAGCTCTAAAAGATTACTTTAGAGTAGAATTCCAAATGAAGAAAAGTTTCAACAGCTGTTTTCTAGAGTTTGTTTAAAATGCACTTTATTTTTTAATGGAAGAATATTACTTTAATCACCTAAAGTATGCAGAAGTGTTTTCCAGGACAGTTTCAAACTAACTGTAAGTGAGATCATGTCTCTGCTGAGTGATTAACCTACCTTCCCAATAGGATTTCCAATGCATCCTTGTTTTTCTGGAGTAAGAGAAAAAAAAAAAAAAATTGCTAGTTTCAATACATTCCTATGAAAGGAGAAAAATTAATATGTTAAAATTGGTTTAAAAACCTGATATTCGGTGCAAAATTGTTCTATTCTCTCTTTATCCAGTTTGCAGTCTTCTAGGCATGTGCTACAGGGAAAAAGAATTTATTAGTTTTCTGATAACATTAACTCAGTAATATACTTTTAAGTAACAACCTCTAGAAAAATGGTGTAGCTTCCAAGTATGAGTACCTTATAGCAGATATGTCAGCTTTCTGTTTCCCTGCCTCCAGAATACACGTTGCAGCCGCAGCATGGCAATGTTTTAATACTGTAGGGTCAATATCTTTCAGGTCTGGATCGTCTAAAATAAATGAATTACTGATGACAGGCATTTGCCAAGTCCCTGCACTCGGTACCAAAGGCTGCTGCTCGCCCTTAGAACGCTATCTTTCCCGCAAAAACTTCAAAATGAAACACATTTGGTGCTTCAGAGCCAAAGGACAGAGCAGGTAAGGCAAGGTGAGGAGGCAGAGGAGAAGGTGAGGGGCTGAAGCACTGGCTGGGGCAAGCCGTACCAGGCGGGGCTGTGCGGCGCTGAGCGCCCCGCCGCCTCTACATCCCCTTCCCATTAAAGAAAAAAGAAAAGAAAGAAAAGAAGAAAAGAAAGAAAGAAAGAAAGAAAGAAGGAAAACCTCAATTTCCTCTGTGAGCCCCGTCCGCGATGCTCAGCAGCCTGTTAACGGCGAGGAGCGGGACTGGGGCCACCGGCCGAGAGGGGCACCGGGACCGTCCGCCGCCCCTGCCCGGCACCCTCGGTCCGCGGAGGCGGCGGCGGAGTCATTAACACCGCAAAATTAATTGCACGGCCGTGCACCCTCGTGCTGGGGTTGCCGTAGGACGCGTCCACGCGCGAAGCCGCCGGCAGGGTCGCGGCGGAGCGGCGGGGGAGCACCGCCTGCTCAGCCCACGCCGCCCCGCGGACACGAAAGCGCGGAGGGACCCTTCCCGACCCTTCCCTCTATTTCGGACAGGTCGGAGCTTTCTTGAAGCGGGCGCGCATTAGCGATGACACCCCGCGCAGCGACACCCCGGAGCCGCCCGCGGGCAGGAGCCGCCCCGCGAGTGTGCGCGGGCAGCGCCCGCTCCAGCGCGGACACGCGCGGACACCCGCGGGGGCGGACGGAGCCCCGCGCCCGCCTGCGCGCTCCGCGGAGCGGCGCGGCCCGCACGCCCCTCCGCGCCACGCCTTACCCAACCCGGCCTGCGGGTGATCCAGGAGGCTGCGGAAGGCGGCGCGGAGGAGGGCGGCGAACGGGCGACGGGGGAAGCGGCGGGGGTCGCCCAGCAGCCGCCACCCGCCCTGCGCGTACGGCGACAGCTCCATTGTGGGCGCCGTGACCTTCGACACGCGCCCACGTGACGCGCGCGCAGCTGATCGCGGGCGCGAGGCGGGGCCGCGCCGCGGGGCGGGGCGGGGAGGGGAGGATAGAGGAGGCGCCGGTGTCGGTGTCGGTGTCGGTGTCGGTGTCGGTGTCGGTGTCGGTGTCGGTGTCGGTGTCGGTGCGCGGCCGCGGAGCCCCGCAGCCCCGCGCGGTCCGCGCCCGACCCCGCTCCCCTGCCCCACCTCACCCCATCCCGCTCCGCTCCGCCGCCGCCCTGACCACTCGTGTCCACACCGTCCCCCTCGCTGCTTGGGTTTTGGAATGGGAGGTGATGCTGTTTCGGTGGGAGATGCGCCGCAAGGGTGTTTTGTGGTGTAATTAGCCCTTAATGAATTTGAAAGTGCTCGTATCTTATGAAATCCCTAAAGGGCTTGTGTCTCAATAGATGTCTAGCGTGCATGTGTTGGTGTGAAGCTTTTCAGCCCAAAAACGTGTTGCCGGCTATATAAAATCCTCAGGAACAGGATTATCCCTTTGTTATAGGGAATCATAGAACCATTGAGGTTCGAAAAGATGCTCAAGATCATCAAATCCAGCCCTCGACTGGATACCACCATGCCCACTCTAGCATACCACAGAGTGCCACAATCGGGTTTTTTGACATTTCCAGGGATGGTGACTCCATCACCTCCCTGGGGAGCCTGTTCCAATGCTTAACCACTCTTCCGGTAAAGAATGTTATTTTGCTTCTGAAATGTCTATGTATATCATCACATATTCCCCCCCTCTCCCCGTGGTTAGAGATTTGTGTGTCAAACCACGTTTTTTGCCTGTGGTTATGGCCAGCTGAAATGTGAACTTACTACTAAACTAATTCCTGTTTTCCTAATCTAACTTTCTAACCAGGATTGCTGTTGCATTTTGGCAAAAGGTTTTGCACATTTTGACATACAAAAAATAGTTACAGATAGACAAAACAGCCTTTTGTGGTGATTTACGAAAGGCATCCAACTGCTATCTGAAAACATCTCCATGAAAATCTAATAAATTCTTCACGAAGTATTCACCTCTTATGTCAGCATTTTATTTTTTAAGTATTGAAGCATTGCCATAATCCTCAAAAATACTAAAGTTTACTTAAGTAACTTGAAAGTAAACAATGAAATACTGTGTGGTTATATCTCATCTAAGGACCAAATTGGGACTGATGTAATCAAAAAAAGGTAAAAGGCCTTAGTGTGCTACACGAATCATGATGTATATGACCTTTGGAGTTCATGTACAGAAAATATTTTGGATCTCTTTTTTTTTTCCTTTGTGTGTGTCTATTCTGAATGGTCAAGAATGTTACTGTGTTACTTGGCATTCTTTATTGAACAAACATTTCTGCTGAGCATTTCTTAAAGGGAAATGCAATGCTGAAAGCTACTCAGCCTAAAAAATATGGGTGAAAGCTAGGGGCCTTTGCCAGATTCATTATTTTAAAATAATGTCTATACAATGTTAAAAAGAACAAGAAATTTAATTTCTTCTGAACTTTCATGGTAATTGACTGGTAGCTGATTTAATCAAAAAGCCTTTTGGAATTTTGTATCCATCACTCTCACTAATTACAATCCACCATCTAAAAGCTTGGTCCAGCTTTGGAGGCCAGTTCCAGCTTTGTCCTAGTACAGATGGTAAGATTAGGCTTTATCACATCACACCACAGCACCTTTTATGTTTATTTGAATTATGCTATCTTTGGAATAATCTCTCAACTTCTTTTCTTTCTCATTTTTTGTGATTTTAATATTTTTGTGATGTTAATTAATTAATATTTTCTGCAAATCCAGTGTGTGCATCTCCTTCAGTATGGATGCTGTCTATCAAAACACTCTGCCTCCAGTTTCCTGCCTCCTGTGGGTTGTCTGGCCACTGAGTTATAAAAAACACATATTTGTATACCTAGCTCTCAATTGTGCCCAAATTAAGGTAAAGACGAAAATCTCCTGGCTGCAGGATCTGGCTCTCAGTTCCAACTCTCATGTACAATATTAGGCCTCATGATACTGTGAAGAATGAACATGGAATGTTTTGGAATATGATCTGAAATATTACCTCTGGCTTGATACATAAAATTAATACCACTGAATTGACAAACTCCAAGCTTCAGAGTCTGGCAGAGAGAGAAGTCACAGTCTTTTTTTTTTTTTTTTTTTTTTTTTTTTTGCAAGAAACAAGAAAGGGGTGTTGACAGGTAGGTGAGCTGACAAAATAAGGCTTTCTCTCTTTATTTTTTTGGTATGGTTGTCAAATATATACATGATACCTAAGAAAAACCAGCGTAAAATGGAGGAGAAGAAAAATCATAACATGGAGGAGAGGACAGAGCTCTGAGCTGTAGAATTACAAAGGTAAAGAGACCAGGGCTATAAAAAAGGGTTGTCACCTAAAATATATTAAAAGGTACACATAGGTACACTTAGGGTATGGTTGTACTTTAGAGAAATTTCATCTTCAACATCCCCTTATCATTTATAGCATATTGAAATCTATAGATTAACATCCAGCTTTAAAGGCAAAACATCTGCTAAAGATTCATTGCAGGATTATGTAGTACATGTAATTCTTATCACAATTTCATCACAAAATTTATATTATTAGGTCCTCTACCCAGTCTCTCAGCTTGACTTTTTGTTCTTTCTTTTTCCCTCCAAGAAGATAATGAGATGGCTTCAGATGGAAAGATTGCTATGAGAATTTACTACTTGTTTAGAGCATATACACATTTTAAAGAGCTGTTCGTTACAATTTCCTATAGAAATCTAACTTGTATGTTGAATAAAGAAATTATGATTGAAATGCATAAATACTTGAATAATAATTAATCAGGGAAACAGACTACAGACTACCTCAGCCCATGCCAGATAGTAATTTTTACTGCTTGAATTTGGTTACTTAAAACAAAAAAGTTCAACTATTCAAAATGAAGGGAAATCATTAGCATCTCCACAGGACTAATTCATAAAATTCAAACATTGGCATAAGTATTTCTGAAAAGTCCCAAATTAACATTTTTTTATCTGTGTATTGCTCTTCAGAGAGTTAAGAGACAGTAACGTAAGATGATATTCTAACACCAGTTTTCTGCCAATTTATTACTGAATTCCAAGAGTTTCTTCCACACATTAATGGAATGCTCCTTGAACTTTTCTTTTGAGTCAGTATCAAGCCTTTTTCATTACAAAATATATTTTTCTGAATAAAATATTTTAAGCAGATCAAACCAGTAAAAATAAGTCGGTGTTTTCTACAAAATTTATTTCTTGCTGGATTAATATTTTTAGAGACAGCATGATATCCATATGCCAGTAACTGACATGATCACAGAAATAGAGAAAAGGAGCCTGCATGTGCCAGAAAGTCCAGGAAAATTTCTCTCATAATCACAGGCACAAAAGTGCGATATTAAATAAAATACTGCCTTGAACCAGGCAATTATGTGAATTATTTAATTGGTATGATTATTGTAAGCAGTACTTATATCTGCTGAAAATGCAGTACTTGTCACATATTAATAAGAAAATATTTGCTTTCAGAAATTTTTGGTATGTATTAATTTCAATAAATGCTTTGTTTGTCTAGACACAAGGACTATTCAATAAAACATGCTTTATTTGCTTGCAAATAGTTCTGATTAACAGCTAAGGACCTTAGATTTTTATTTAAATATGTGAAAGCATTTGATTTATTTTGTTAAGATAAAGCCTGTAGTAGTTGAATACATTTTTTACCAGGTATTTAATATTTTTGGACTATTTAACTTGAAAACCATTTTTTTTACTACGTAGTATTTTTGAAGTTAAGTGAGATTAATTTATTAAAAAACAACTAGGTCTTATCTATTTACATTTTGAATAGCTTTATTCAACTTGCTTTTATCTTCTATTTGTCAAAACTTAGTCTTCTGATTTTCCCTTCATACATAAAAAAAGCCAGATATTCTTAGGCTGTGTAGAAAATTAAAAAAAAAAAAAGAAAAGATCTAGAGCTTTCACATTTTAATTTTACTTTTAAGCTATTGATATTTTAGTTCTTATTTAAATGCTCAGGAATAGAGGTAACCAGAGAAGTATCATTGCTTAAAGCATTGTAGTTCCTCTGATTTTTAACAATTCAGGAAAATCTTATGTATTATAACAGTTCCATTACCCCCTTATTTTATGAAAACACAAAACTTTAGAAATTTATTTGAATTTACATTTTATAATTTCTTGCCAAATAAAAAAAAATCACAGGGATAATTTGCATACTTTCTGTCTAAGATCATGCAAAAAACCTGAGTAATAAAAGAATCAGTAAAGATCCGTGGATGTGAGCTGGAGTCACTGTGATGTACTAGACAGCACACCCTCCAGGACAGCAGCTTTGTTGTTTTGTGTGTTTTGACTTATTTTGAAATCCTTCTAATTAAATGAAAGTCCTGCATTTACTGATTTTTCAGTCGTTCTCTTTCCTTCTTTTTCTTTCACAGAGAAATAGAGCTCTGTAGTTCATGATGTGTTTTCTCTTTCTTTGGACAAAACTCTAATGTCTTTGATTAAATTCGTGGAGGTTTACAAATGAGGCCTACAAAAAGCATGCTGCTTTTAATGTCAGATGGAGAAATACAAACATCCCTGCTGCTTTACTGGAATTGCTATTGTAATTCCATGTCTAGTCCTGTGTCACAGATGAACAGTTTGTCATATTCACAAAAATACCAGGAACTGCTTTTTAGTTTTTATATTGTGATTCTGTCTTTGAAAGCAACACTTATTGGAAGCAGATCTTAAACGAAAATTTTTTGCTACTTTTCAAATGATCTGACATAATTTACAGATGCTTCAAAGTTGAGGCAGCTCTCAGATACAGACACACATTGTACCCAAAGTTCTTTACATCTATCTTTATTTTGTAAATGTATTGAGAAAAGTCTAATCTCTATGTGATTTTTAACAGTGAGCCAAATACATTTGAA